CTGGGCACCTTAACCGCACCAGAACCTAATTCTATATATATATATATATATATATATATATATATATATATATATATATATATATATATATATATATATATATATATATATATATATATATATATAATTATGTTATTATAAATATAAATAAAAAATATAAAAACTAAAATATTTTAAATTATTTAATATAATAATATTTTTTAGCTACCATTGGTCAAGTATTTATTATTTTTATAGAATACAAAATTACAATTAAAATTAAAATTAAATTAAAATTATAATTTTGTATGGTTAATATAATCTCTAATTATGTGCATATTCAAATAAACTTATAGAGATAATTTACATAATTACATTGATTTATTCTTAATTGTATTTCATCTATATTATAATTTTCACAATACAAATAATAATTAAGATAATTACATTTGGAAAGTAAATTTCAAATTTTGTATGTGTAAATTTAAACTCTAATTGAACACATTTTTTATATGATTATATAATATATAGCTATTTTATTTTTCAAAAGTATATTTTTTATATTATTATATAATATATAGCTTTTTTATTTTTTAAATGTTATGCTTTTTTTTTTATATAATAAAAGATGTTGTGGCATTAATTGTAACATTAATTATTTCCCAAACCATATAGCTTTATTATATAAAGGATATATATATATATATATATATATATATATATATATATATATATATATATATATATATATATATATATATATATATATATGTATGTATGTATGTATGTATGTATGTATAAATAATTGGATCCTCGGTATGGACTTCATTATATATTCCTTGTGTAAAATCTATTTAATTCCTCTAGCCCAAGCCCATGTAAATATTATTCGCAAATTATGCTGTGCAACCGAATGCACCGTGCGCATGGTGCATACGATGCAAAACGACGTCGTTTTGGTTAAAAAATGCGCGTCCCACTTAAAAAAAGAAATCAGGTTCGATTCCCGGCAATAACATTTTTATATATCCATAAATTCATAACTATATATCCATAAATTCATAACTATATATCCACAAATTCATAACTATATATCCACAGTGAATGAATGAAGTAAAAATTCACAATGAATGAACTACATATCCCCAATGAATGAACTAAATATCCCCAATGAATGAACTAACTATCCACAATGATTGAACTAAATATCCACAATGAATGAACTAAATATCCAGAAATTCATAACTATATATCCATAAATTCATAACTATATATCCACAGTGAATGAATGAAGTAAATATCTACAATGAATGAACTAAATATCAACAATGAATGAACTAAATATCCATAAATTCATAACTATATATCCAGAAATTCATAACTATATATCCACAATAATGCTATTGCCGAGAATCGAACCTGAATTTGTTTTTTTTTTTTTTTAAATGGAACGCGCGTTTTTAGTCAAACGACGTCGTTTTGCATCGTATGCACCATGCGCATGGTGCATTCGGTTGCACAGCATAACTATTGAATATTATTATATCTATACTAATTTCACTCATATAATAAAAGCCCATTATTCTAGTCTTACACTCCTTATTATATACACTAGTGTTTTCTATGCGCGATGCGCAAAAAAATGTACCCGATATTAATACTTTATATTAAAATCTTAGATTTATTTCTATTTTAGATATTCATATTATTGTAAATAATAATAATAAAAATAATGTAAAACTAACATTTTAATAAATTTGATATTTATATTTTATGAAATAACTAACATATAGTTCCAATATAATGTGTATATATTATTATTGAAAAAGATAAAAAAAAAATAAATATAATTGGAAATGCAGGGAAATCCCCGTACCTTTCACATGCTAAGCGAGCTCTCTACTATCTGAGCTACATCCCCATAATAAAATTTTTTTCGGTATTAGAAAACAAAAAGCACTTAAAATTCAAAAAGTTGTAGGATTTGATTTTTTCGGTATTAGAATTGGAGGTGTAGGGTATCGATTATCGTATACAATTCGATTCAACACTCAGCATTTTTGTAACAAATTTTGCACTTATGTATAGCTGGGTATCGATTATTTTACACTTATGAGCTTGCAAATTACATAGTCATCAGTTGGAGCGATCCCCGTACCTCTCGCATGCTAAGCAAGCGCTCTACCATCTGAGCTACATCCCCATAATGCAAATTACTTCATTAAAAAGTGTGTTGTGGTCCATTGGCATCAGATTGCTCCCTTATGTGGGAAGTCTAGGTTTTAAGCCTCGTTGTAGGCATAGTTTGTATGGGTATCCCCCTTCCTTTGTAATTAAAAAAAAATTACTTTATTAAACATCTATAATTTAGAAAACAAAAAGCATTTAAACATAATAATATTATACGATTCGACACTCAACTTTGAAAATTAAAATAGTATAGATTTTATTCAAAAATCAATATTTTCGTGCAACTGGAAATGCAGGATATTGATCCCCACCCTCTCACATGCAAAGCGAGCGTTCTACCATATGAGCTACATCCCCATAGTGATTTCTATTTAAATAAATATCTCTAATCTAGAAAGCAAAAAACATTTGAAAATTTAAATATTATACAATTCTATTAAACACTCGACATTTTTGTAACAGATTTGCACTAGTGTAAAGCTTGCAAATAACATAGACAATTGGAAATGCAGGAAAATCCCCGTACCTCTCACATGCTTAGCGAGCGCTCTACCATCTGAGCTACATCCCCGTAATGTTAAATACTTTATTAAATATCTATAATTTAGAAAACAAAAAGCATTTATAATTCAAAAATTTATACGATTTGATTTCACACTCGACATTTTCGAACCGTGTATTATTAAATATCTATAATTTAGAAAACAAAAAGCATTTATAATTTAAAAAATTATACGATTTGATTTAACACTGCACATTTTTATAACAAATTTTCACTCATGTTAAACTTGCAAATTACATTTAGGCAATTAGAGATGCGGAGTATCAATCCACGTACCTCTCGCATGCTAAGCAAGTGCTATACCATCTGAGCTACATCCCCATAATATGCGAATTACTTCATTAAGTATCTGTAATTTAGAAATCAAAAAGCATTTAAAAATAATAATATTATACGATTTGATTCGAAATCAACATTTTCATGACAAATTTATTGGAGATGCGGGGTTTCAATCCCTGTACCTCTCACATGCGAAGCGAGCGCTCTACCATATGAGCTACATCCCCATAATAAAAAATGATTTTTTAAATATCACTAATTTAGAAAGCAAAAAGCATTTGAAAATTATAATATTATACAATTTGATTAAACACTCGACATTTTTGTAACAAATTTGCACTTGTGTAAAGCTTGCAAATAATATAGAAAATTAGAAATGCAGAGAAATCTAACATTGACAATTGGAAATGCAGAGAAATCCCCGTACCTCTCACATGCTAAGCGAGCTCTCTACTATCTGAGCTACATCCACATAATGGTAAATACTACATCCCCATAATGGTAAATACTTTATTAAATATTTATAATTTAGAAAACAAAAAGCACTTAAAAAATTCAAAAAGTTGTACGATTTGATTTTTTCGGTACTAAAATTGGAGATGTAGGGTATCGATTATCGTATACAATTTGATTCACACTCGACATTTTTGTAACAAATTTTGCACTTATGTAAAGCTTGCAAATTACATTTAGTCATCAATTAGAGATGCAAGGTATCGATCCCCGTACCTCTCACATGCTAAGCGAGCGCTCTACCATATGAGCTACATCCCCATAATGTAAATTACTTCATTAAACATCTATAATTTAGAAAACAAAAAGCATTTAAACATAATAATATTATACGATTCGATTCGACACTCAACTTTGAAAATTAAAATAGTATAGGATTTTATTCAAAACTCAATATTTTCGTGCAACTGGAAATGCAAGGTATTGATCCCCATACCTCTTGCATGTAAAGCGAGCACTCTACCATATGAGCTACATCCCCATAATGAATTTTTTTTAAAAAATATCTCTAATCTAGAAAGCAAAAAGCATTTGAAAATTTAAATATTATACAATTTGATTAAACACTCGACATTTTTGTAACAAATTTGCACTAGTGTAAAGCTTGCAAATAACATAGAGAATTGGAAATGCAGGGAAATCTCCGTACCTCTCACATGCTTAGCGAGCGCTCAACCATCTGAGCTACATCCCCGTAATGGTAACATTTTCGAACCGTGTATTACTAAATATCTATAATTTAGAAAACAAAAAGCTTTTATAATTTAAAAAATTGTTAAGCTTTCAAATTACATTTAAGCAATTGGAGATGCGGCGTATCAATCCACGGACCTCTCACATGCTAAGCAAGTGCTATACCATCTAAGCTACATCCCCATAATATGCGAATTGCTTCATTAAGTATCTGTAATTTAGAAAACAAAAAGCATTTAAAAATAATAATATTATACGATTTGATTCGAAATCAACATTTTCATGACGAATTTATTGGAGATGCGGGGTTTCAATCCCTGTACCTCTCACATGCGAAGCGAGCGCTCTACCATATGAGCTACATCCCCATAATAAAAAATGATTTTTTAAATATCACTAATTTAGAAAGCAAAAAGCATTTGAAAATTATAATATTATACAATTTGATTAAACACTCGACATTTTTGTAACAAATTTGCACTTGTGTAAAGCTTGCAAATAATATAGAAAATTAGAAATGCAGAGAAATCTAACATTGACAATTGGAAATGCAGAGAAATCCCCGTACCTCTCACATGCTAAGCGAGCTCTCTACTATCTGAGCTACATCCACATAATGGTAAATACTACATCCCCATAATGGTAAATACTTTATTAAATATTTATAATTTAGAAAACAAAAAGCACTTAAAAAATTCAAAAAGTTGTACGATTTGATTTTTTCGGTATTAGAATTGGAGATGTAGGGTATCGAATATCGTATACAATTTGATTCACACTCGACTTTTTGTAACAAATTTTGCACTTATGTAAAGCTTGCAAATTACATAGTTATCAATTAGAGATGAAAGGTATCGATCCCCGTACCTCTTGCATGCTAAGCGAGCGCTCTACCATCTGAGCTACATCCCCATAATGTAAATTACTTCATTAAACATCTATAATTTAGAAAACAAAAAGCATTTAAACATAATAATATTATACGATTCGATTCGACACTCAACTTTGAAAATTAAAATAGTATAGGATTTTATTCAAAACTCAATATTTTCGTGCAACTGGAAATGCAAGGTATTGTTCCCCATACCTCTTGCATGTAAAGCGAGCACTCTACCATATGAGCTACATCCCCATAATGAATTTTTTTTTTTAAAATATCTCTAATCTAGAAAGCAAAAAGCATTTGAAAATTTAAATATTATACAATTTGATTAAACACTCGACATTTTTGTAACAAATTTGCACTAGTGTAAAGCTTGCAAATAACATAGAGAATTGGAAATGCAGGGAAATCTCCGTACCTCTCACATGCTTAGCGAGCGCTCAACCATCTGAGCTACATCCCCGTAATGGTAACATTTTCGAACCGTGTATTATTAAATATCTATAATTTAGAAAACAAAAAGCTTTTATAATTTAAAAAATTGTTAAGCTTTCAAATTACATTTAAGCAATTGGAGATGCGGCATATCAATCCACGGACCTCTCACATGCTAAGAAAGTGCTATACCATCTAAACTACATCCCCATAATATGCGAATTGCTTCATTAAGTATCTGTAATTGAGAAAACAAAAAGCATTTAAAAATAATAATATTATACGATTTGATTCGAAATCAACATTTTCATGACAAATTTATTGGAGATGTGGGGTTTCAATCCCTGTACCTCTCACATGCGAAGCGAGCGCTCTACCATATAAGCTACATCCCCATAATAAAAAATGATTTTTTAAATATCACTAATTTAGAAAGCAAAAAGCATTTGAAAATTATAATATTATACAATTTGATTAAACACTCGACATTTTTGTAACAAATTTGCACTTGTGTAAAGCTTGCAAATAATATAGAAAATTAGAAATGCAGAGAAATCTAACATTGACAATTGGAAATGCAGAGAAATCCTCGTACCTCTCACATGCTAAGCGAGCTCTCTACTATCTGAGCTACATCCACATAATGGTAAATACTACATCCCCATAATGGTAAATACTTTATTAAATATTTATAATTTTGAAAACAAAAAGTACTTAAAAAATTCAAAAAGTTGTACGATTTGATTTTTTCGGTATTAGAATTGGAGATGTAGGGTATCGATTATCGTATACAATTTGATTCACACTCGACATGCAAATTACATAGTCATCAATTAGAGATGCAAGGTATCGATCCCCATACCTCTCGCATGCTAAGCGAGCGCTCTACCATCTGAGCTACATCCCCATAATGTAAATTACTTCATTAAACATCTATAATTTAGAAAACAAAAAGCATTTAAACATAATAATATTATACGATTCGATTCGACACTCAACTTTGAAAATTAAAATAGTATAGGATTTTATTCAAAACTCAATATTTTCGTGCAACTGGAAATGCAAGGTATTGATCCCCATACCTCTTGCATGTCGCTTAGCATGCGAGAGGTACGGGGATCGATACCTTGCATCTCTAATTGATGACTATGTAATTTGCAAGCTTTACATAAGTGCAAAATTTGTTACAAAAATGTCGAGTGTGAATCAAATTGTATACGATAATCGATACCCTACATCTAAGCTACATCCCCATAATATGGGAATTGCTTCATTAAGTATCTGTAATTTAGAAAACAAAAAGCATTTAAAAATAATAATATTATACGATTTGATTCGAAATCAACATTTTCATGACAAATTTATTGGATATGCAGGGTTTTAATCCCTGTACCTCTCACATGCGAAGCAAGCGCTCTACCATATGAGCTACATCCCCATAATAAAAAATGATTTTTTAAATATCACTAATTTAGAAAGCAAAAAGCATTTGAAAATTATAATATTATACAATTTGATTAAACACTCGACATTTTTGTAACAAATTTGCACTTGTGTAAAGCTTGCAAATAATATAGAAAATTAGAAATGCAGAGAAATCTAACATTGACAATTGGAAATGCAGAGAAATCCCCGTACCTCTCACATGCTAAGCGAGCTCTCTACTATCTGAGCTACATCCACATAATGGTAAATACTACATCCCCATAATGGTAAATACTTTATTAAATATTTATAATTTTGAAAACAAAAAGCACTTAAAAAATTCAAAAAGTTGTACGATTTGATTTTTTCGGTATTAGAATTGAAAATGTAGGGTATCAATTATCGTATACAATTTGATTCACACTCGACATTTTTGTAACAAATTTTGCACTTATGTAAAGCTTGCAAATTACATAGTCATCAATTAGAGATGCAAGGTATTGATCCCCATACCTCTTGCATGCGAAGCGAGCACTTTACCATCTGAGCTACATCCCCATAATGTAAATTACTTCATTAAACATCTATAATTTAGAAAACAAAAAGCATTTAAACATAATAATATTATACGATTCGATTCGACACTCAACTTTGAAAATTAAAATAGTATAGGATTTTATTCAAAACTCAATATTTTCGTGCAACTGGAAATGCAAGGTATTGATCCCCATACCTCTTGCATGTAAAGCGAGCACTCTACCATATGAGCTACATCCCCATAATGAATTTTTTTTTAAAAATATCTCTAATCTAGAAAGCAAAAAGCATTTGAAAATTTAAATATTATACAATTTGATTAAACACTCGACATTTTTGTAACAAATTTGCACTAGTGTAAAGCTTGCAAATAACATAGAGAATTGGAAATGCAGGGAAATCTCCGTACCTCTCACATGCTTAGCGAGCGCTCAACCATCTGAGCTACATCTCCGTAATGGTAACATTTTCGAACCGTGTATTATTAAATATCTATAATTTAGAAAACAAAAAGCTTTTATAATTTAAAAAATTGTTAAGCTTTCAAATTACATTTAGGCAATTGGAGATGCAGAGTATCAATCCACATACCTCTCACATGCTAAGCAAGCGCTATACCATCTGAGCTACATCCCCATAATATGCGAATTGCTTCATTAAGTATCTGTAATTTAGAAAACAAAAAGCATTTAAAAATAATAACATTATACGATTTGATTCGACACTCAACTTTGAAAATTAAATTAGTATAGGATTTTATTCAGAAATCGACATTTTCGTAACAAATTAGCACCATGTAATGTTTGTAAACAACATAAGAATGAATTGGAGATGCGGGGTATCGATCCCCGTACCTCTCACATGCAAAGCGAGCGCTCTACCATATGAGCTACATCCCCATAATGAAAAATGGTTTTTTTAAATATCACTAATCTAGAAAGCAAAAAGCATTTGAAAATTATAATATTATACAATTTGATTAAACACTCGACATTTTTGTAACAAATTTGCACTAGTGTAAAGCTTGCAAATAATATAGAAAATTAGAAATGCAGAGAAATCCCCGTACCTCTCACATGCTAAGCGAGCTCTCTACTATCTGAGCTACATCCCCATAATAGTAAATACTTTATTAAATATCTATAATTAGATAACAAAAAACATTTATACTTCAAAAAGATGTACGATTTGATTTTACACTCGACATTTTTGAACCGTGAAGTATATCAGAATTAGAGATGTAGGGTATCTATTACCGTATACAATTTGATTCAACACTCGGCATTTTTGTTGCAAATTTTGCACTCATGTAAAGCTTGCAAATTACATAGGCAATTGGAGATGCAGGGCATCAATCCCCGTATCTCTCGCATGCTAAGCGAGCGCTCTATCATCTGAGCTACATCCACATAATGCGAATTGCTTCATTAAATATCTATAATTTAGAAAACAAAAAGAATTTAAACCTAATAATATTATACGATTTAACTCGACATTCAACTTTGAAAATTAAAATAGTATAGTATTTGATTCAGAACTCGATATTTTCGTATCAAATTTGCACTGTGTGGAGTTTGCAAACTACATAGGAATCGGAGATATGGGGTATTAATCCCTATACCCCTCGCATGCAAAGCGAGCGCTCTACCATATGAGCTACATCCCCATAATTAAAAATGGTTTTTTAAATATCTCTAATCTAGAAAGCAAAAAGCATTTGAAAATTATAATATTTGATTAAACACTCGACATTTTTGTAACAAATTTTGCACTCATGTAAAGCTTGCAAATTACATAGGCAATTTGAGATGCGAGGTATCGATCCCCGTACCTCTTACATGCTAAGCGAGCTCTCTACTATCTAAGCTAGATCCCCGTAATGGTAAATATTTTATTAAATATCCATAATTTTGATAACAAAAAGTTGTACGATAAATTGATTTCACACTCGACATTGTCAACCGTGCAAGTTACATCAGAATTGGAGATGTAGGGTATCGATTACTGTATATAATTTGATTCAACACTCGACATTTTTGTAACAAATGTTGCACTCATGTAAAGCTTGCAATCGAATCGATCCCCGTACCTCTCAGATGCTAAGCGAGCTCTCTACTATCTGAGCTACATCACCGTAATGGTAAATACTTTTTTAAATAGGTAAATACTTTATTAAATATGTACGATTTGATTTCACACTTGACATTTTCAAACTGTGCAGGTTACATCAGAAATGGAGACTTTATTAAATATGTACGATTTGATTTCACACTTGACATTTTCGAACCGTGCAGGTTACATCAGAAATGGAGATGTAGGGTATCGATTACCATATACACACTTGACATTTTCGAACCGTGCAGGTTACATCAGAAATGGAGACTTTATTAAATATGTACAATTTGATTTCACACTTGACATTTTCGAACCGTGCAGGTTACATCAGAAATGGAGATGTAGGGTATCGATTACCATATACAATTTGATTCAACACTCGACATTTTTGTAACATATTTT